CAGATCAAGAACTTGTTCATGACTATCTTCTTTGACGGCATCACCGTACAGATCCTAATGGAAGGTACAGACAATCCAGTATAAGGTTGTTGAGGAATGTAAACTCTGCTGTGTTCATCCTGGTGGTCCTGTTGATGCTGATGTGACTCTCGTTCTGTTCTGAACCGGTCCAGGATCTACTGGATCACCTCCAACAGGTCTGTGTGAAGACTCCAGCAGTGAAGCGAGGCTCCCTGGCTGCAGCTCCACGAGGTAAGAGCTCCTCACTGACTGCTGCTCTGCTGCTGCTGGATGAATGGACTGCAGAGAAACTCTGGATGAACGAGCAAACAGTCCTGACCTTGTTGTGTGTCGCCCCCCAGCTGTGTTCCACAGTATGACTACGCTGAAGATAAGATCTGCCCCAACAACACAGACAGGTGAGCACATCCAACCAGAAACACCTGTCTGTGTTCTCACTGGCTGTTAGTTCTAGATGAGCAGCACACATGGACTATGACCGCCCCAAACATTGTTGTTTTACTGTATTTGTGTTTGATGCTTTTTAATAATGACTGATTTCATACATTACATTTTGTTCAGCGCTTCGGTCAATGAACTTTAAAAAACTGACTTGACTTGATTTATCACCTCCCAGCTGCTTCCACCTGAACAAGGCACCCTTCACCTCCTGTGACATCAACCCAAATCCCTACTTTGAAGCCTGCACAGACACTTTGTCCAGGTATCCTGCAGTGGACGGCCTCAAGTGTCAGTTCCTGGAGGCCTACGCCAGAGCCTGCAGCCTGAAGTCCAACATCACACTGAAGGGCTGGAGGTCCAAGACTGAGTGTCGTAAGTCCTGCTTCATTCAGCGTTCTTCGTTGTCAATCTCATCACATGTGGTACATGAGGTGGAACAAAACTGTGTACACTGGGTCCCAGTTACATCCAACAATAGCAAAAATATAAAGTGTAAAAAGCAAAATGTTTCAGCACAAAACAAAAGAAACTGTCCAGATGACCTGACTGAAAAATGTTGGATTGTATACCTGAATTATTGAGCATGGACTTTGTTTGAGCTCCAAGCTCATAGAAGAGAATAAATGCACATTTATAATGATCTCTCCCTCCTCATTTTCAGCTCAGCTCTTGCTTCATTCAGTTTCCATCACTGAGAAAA